CCATTTTGTTCATATGTAACCTGTCCAATCATTAGCATATGCGGTTGCTTACCCTGGATTTGATCGACTCACCGGTGCTTAGGGTTATCAACTCCGATTCAGTTTTGAAATATATATTTAAAGGAATTAATTCCGCCCTGATCCGATGCCATCTCAGCTAATTCTGAAGCCAATTTCACCCAGTGCTGACTGCAGGTTAGATTAAGACCGCATAGCAGCTGGCTGTAGGACAAAATATTTTTAGGTGAAGGTCACATAGGGCAAAAGATCGAGTGGCACAGATTGCACGCAAAATGCCATATAAATTGATTGTGAGAAAAAGGTCGTAGAGAGTCGCCAGGGAAGAGCGGCATTGATGGCGCTCTTACTGAAAACAACCTTAGAAATAGTTTGGTGCAACAGATCGGAAGCAGTGGTTTGGGATATGGATAAGCAGTCATATGGGATAAGGATCGTGGGAGGAGAGATCATCATGCATACATGTTCTAGTTCTACGGTGAGAGGTAGTGGCGTAACGCGGTAGAGATCAAATCGAATGGATACAAGAGGCGGACCCGCACTTACCGGGCCAAGGTCGCTTAAAATATTCAGAAAATGGACAGCTGCATCACTGGATGTTACTGAATTTTGAATCCTGAACGCTGGAAGTCTCTATCTCTCCACCTTCATTAAGCCCTGCACCAACTGGTCGAAATCTGAGTGATGGTTTCGGTTTTTTTTTAATGCGTACAGTTTGCTATGGCTTGGATTATGAACCGTTACCGGGTCAGATGTGTGTGTGTGTGTGTGTGTGTGTGTGTGTTTGTGTGTGTGGTGTGTGTGTGTGTGTGTGTGTGTTTGTGTGTGTGTGTGTGTGTGTGTGTGTTTGTGTGTGCTTGTGTGTGTGTGTGTGTGTGTGTGTGTGTGTGGGTGCGTGTTTGTGTGTTTGCGTGTGTTTGTGTATGTATTTGTGTGTGTGTGTGTGTGTGTGTTTGTGTGTTTGCGTGTGTTTGTGTATGTATTTGTGTGTGTGTGTGTGTGTGTGTGTGTGTGTGTGTGTGTGTGTGTGTGTGTGTGTGTGTGTGTGTGTGTGTGTGTGTGTGTGTGTGTGTGTGTGTGTGTGTGTGTGTGTGTGTGTGTGTGTGTGTGTGTGTGTGTGTGTGTTGTGCATTATTCGATCAAATCCGGACTACAGCTCCATAGTGTATCATGAATGTGACCACATCTCTGATAATTTATATATATATATATATGCATATTTATGTATAGATTTACACTTGCATACTAAACGTTATATACATATGTACATATGTAGCTGTAACAGTCAGTAGTCTACCATGTCTGAATTATTACAGCACCATATGTTTCTGCTGTCTGATGGCATGGTATCTGAGATCAGTGTGTTTCATTTGACATGCGGTAAGGGGCAATTGGATGTGAAAATATTTTGACATTTCAGTTCCAGCGTTCGCTCCTCTCAACTGGTCGAGCAAATGAATGACGTTAGCATGGTGTTCGCTCAGCCTCGGTTGAATACCAGGAAAAACCCATCTCGAAATCAATGCTTAAACTGCACATAAGTCGAAACGCTTCCTCCTGCCTGCCAACAACCGGCAGCTTACCATTGCAGGTAAAACAGGGCTTTTATCAGATCCACAATTCCACAAAGCGCTGAGCATCAGTCATTGCCACGCCGTTCATGGCCACCTGACACACCAAGGTCGCGTGCAGCCCCCCTCCCCCCTCCCCCGGCGGGCAGGCGGGAAGGGGGGGGGGGGCTGCGGGCCGTTGTTGCATGCACGTCCGACTGCACGTGTGGCACGCGCTCCATGCCCTTCCGTGGGTCAGGCGGCGGTGCCAGCGCCCTTAGTCAGACCGGGGCACCCGCGAATAACGCCACAATAGGGCGCGGGCGGCGGTGCGGCGCTGCCATGGACGGCGCGATGCCAGGCGGTGGACCCCCGCTGGGAGCTGCTGCTTCGTGAGTACCTGCGCTCTTTGATGCCAGGTGGTGGACCTCCGCTGGGAGCTGCTGCTTCGTGTGTACCTGCGCTCTTTGATGCCAGGTGGTGGATCTCCGCCGGGAGCTGCTGCTTTGTGAGTACCTGCGCTCTTAGATGTCAGGTGGTGGACCTCCGCTGGGAGCTGCTGCTTCGTGAGCACCTGCGCTCTTTGATGCCAGGTGGTGGACCTCCGCTGGGGGCTGCTGCTTCGTAAGCACCTGCGCTCTTTGATGCCAGACGGTGGACCTCCGCTGGGAGCTGCTGCTTCGTGAGAACCTGCGCTCTTTGATGCCAGGTGGTGGACCTCCGCTGGGAGCTGTTGCTTCGTGTGTACCTGCGCTGCATTGTGCCTGCCTTCACTGTGCACGCATGTACGGTAGGGCACGGCTGGCTACCGAAGCGGTGCTGGACCGTGGTCTGAATCCGTGAACCACTGGTGGGGTGAAGTGAGTGGGACAAGCAAGAAGCTCCGGCAGCTGGTGATTCGGCCATCATTTTTCCTTTTCAGTAGATGTGGAAGCCATGCAGCTGGCACATCTCCCGTGCCTGATTTCAGACTAGCTTTCAGCCGACACCGACACTGGTGTTCAGTGCCAGATGTGTGCTGGACATGCCTCACGTCTCCGGTTACAGTGAGGGGTCTCTGGACTAATCCGTTGCCGACGAGGTTCGCATGTATTTTCCATTGTAATGTGGTGTTGCACACGTTGCTGATGTTCCATACATTGGCGCTCAAATTGTTCTCTCGCTTGCCCAGCGAGCTAACAGTAATCATGGCCGCAGTGCATGAGGTCTCAGGACGGTTCAGTACAGTTCAGATACGGCTGCTTTTCACGGGTCTTCGTTGGGACAAAATGGTCATCTTCATTAGGGTGAGCCAATGCGTTACATGCTCTCTCACCCGTCACCACATTGGTGGATTTCGAAGTTTGAAACATAAACCAGCTTTGAAACCAGGGTGTCGTTTTTACATTTCCCACATTGAGTGGCGGAAATGTTTACAAACGGAAGCCTGAGTCCGCATCTGGCGTCTGGAATGTGTCGTGACTGACAGAGTGGCCCCGGAGCGTGATGCGGACCAATCTGAACGCACACGGCGCTTGTTTGCTCTTCGCCTGCCTCTCCCACACCGATTTTCAGTACCCGCGATAAAGAGGAATTATGATATCAACGGCGAATCCGGGACTTCTCCTGATGCCCAACGCTTCGAACGCATCGCATACGCTAGGACAGTCATTCAACTCGGTGTAAAGAGCAGGCGCTTACCGAGCCTCAGGGGAAACTACGGTAGGACCTCAGGTCAGTGTCAGGACGGCACGACCGCGGTGTGTCGTTTCCTACGCTTTAACGCCGGTGCTTACACAGCTCACCCCACGGTAGACTCGCGGCCGGTCTGTAATGTCGAGGCTTCGCTTAGCAGAGCTTTCCTCACAGGGACACGTCCGGTCTGCAGTGTCGAAACGCCGCCTGGCAGGACTTTTCTCACAGGGACACGTCCATTCTGTAGTGTCGAGACGCCGCCTGGCAGAGTATTCCTCACAGGGACACGTTCGGTCTGTAGTGTCGAGGCGCCGCCTCGAGACCTTGCCTCCCACAGAGGCCGGGTCCGCCGGCTCCTCGCTCGGACAAGGGGTCGCCGACCGCGCCAGGTCACCACGCTCGGTACCGGGCGCGGGCCGGCCCTGCCCCCTGCAGAAGGGCGCACGTGACCGGCTCTGCCCCTACCTGCAGCGGGGAGTGTGCAGCGGCGGCGACGGCGGCATCCGCTGATGACGGCCTGCGGAGGGCTGCGTGTACGGCCACCCCCATAATTAGGCTCTGGCGCGCCGGCGGCCGCCGGTTCTCGGGGAATGCTGCTGGCCGGTGCAACTGTATCACGCTCAGCAATTACCTGGTCAGGCCAGCGCTTGCAGACGACTACCCACGCATAGCAGCTGCTCTAAAACCAACGCATGTTCAGCGAAGGCTTTCGGTGTCTGTCTGCACAGCTCCGGGTATGCAGAGGAGTTGTGACCTTTCCAAGTTCCGTCCACTGGGTGTTAGGAACAATTCAGCGAAAGTTTTGGCCATGCAAGAGATCGCGTGGTCGCTGCTGTATATAAGAATGGATTTGGGATATACTGAATGGGTGTCACTGACCGTTTTTCTTTCTGAACTGATCTCAAGTGGAACGGAGAAAAATCCCTTTCTGCCGCCCCATTGCATGCACTCACCATAGTCAACAGCTATCATTGCTTACACAAATGCAGGTCACATTTCGAGTCGACTAACTAAAACCTTGGCGAAATGACAGCCGTAATTGCAGTTCTTTGCAAGTGACTGCATCATGTTTCGACTTTGGAGTGCTGGAAGTGCGTTGATAAAACTGCACGTTTCGGAAGCAAGAGGTATGGAGTTCGATTTATGGCGGTGTCCGCCCCGCCTGCGAGGATGAGACTCAGCTGATGAAACATTACTTAAGCAGCTGAGAGCACCCAAAGCCCTAATGACGTCAATGTTTCCTACGGTAAGTGGTAAATTCCTGAAAGAAAACTAGTGACGAAACTTTCCACCAGATGATGAAATAGCCCGCCGATTGTAAACTTTTTCTTCTCGTTCCTTCAATGTACGCGTCAGGGGGCACCCGGCCTCCTTGCAGCAACGTCCGCTTTGACAAGACGAGCGACCGGAATCCCTACGGGTCGTACCCCACAGGGACAGCCCACCGCGTGCGTTAATCCTCATCAGCGAACTCCCCACCTAATAAAAGTTTATCTTACAGCGAACCCCGTCGCCCGCTCCCAGCTCCCATCCCCGGCTCGCTCGGAGAGCCCCCGTCCGCCCCCGCCCACCGCACCCCTTCTAGCCTTCCGGTCATAAAACACCGGCTGGCCGCTGCCTGGCACCACGCGCCCAGTGCGTCGCCCTCCCATCGGAGTCGGCTATCGCCCCGGGCATCCGCGGGCCAGCCTACCCGACCGGCGGCAGCCGCGCCGCCGCGTCCCCGTCGCGTGCTCTTCAGTCGCCGCTCGGCCGACGTACAGAGCGCGCGCGCCCGACATGAAAGTGCCAACCAAGCGGAGAGTGTTCTGTCGCGCGCCGGACAGCGGCGGGCCCGGCTACCTCGACAGGTGAGTCGCCGGCGCGGAGGCGGCAAGAGTGGCGCGGCTGGACACGTGCCGCGGACCTCCGACGTTCCGCTGTCCGTGGCGCCTGCGTTCAGGGACGGGGTCGTCTGGTTATGTATGTAGTCCCAACCATACACAGAACGTTATGATGCAACAGGATATTGTGGTCCGTTCTGACGTGCAGATTCACTAGTAACCGTGCACAGCGAGCTTTGGCGAAAAGTGTTGAAGCGTTAGGAGCGGCGGCGACGTGAAAAGGACGTGACGCGGGCGCTTTTCCCTGCCCAGGACATACCTGCGGCTCAGAATGGGCAATATGACTTGACTGGGTCTTTTCCGCAGAGCGCAAGGTGATATTGATCAAAGGTATGAGCTTACCAAAAAGTTTCCCGCATATTTTTCTAGGGCGGACAGAAAATTGTAAAACTAAAACAAGCTTTTAACCTGCAACGAATAACAAACCACGATAGTATTGCCGCTTTTGTGCGTGTCGTCGACACTGATGGTTTCGGTTAAAACATGATCACGGTTGCCAGTATCACTACCGGGTTCCCCATATCACGACGCCCATGTCGAAGCCAATATCTAGCTCCCAGGGCACAAGCTGTAAGTCACTCAGTTGTCGCGCTTATGTATTGCGTGACAATTTAGTGACTTAATAGCGTGACAATTTGGTGACTTGAGTAGAAGGTGGCCAAGTTCCCGAGAGGAGTTTTATTCACTTTGGAAAGATGTCGCGACTTTAACGCATTTCATCACTTTTTTTCGGCTGTCACACTCCCCATTTGCAGAGAACCTACAGTTCTGTTGCTGGCCCGTATGTACCTAAGTTACCACAGAGAGCCGACAATGCTGCAGACCGGGCGGCGTTCCCAGTAACGCATAAGATGCCCGGCTGCACTAGGATGCGTGTTCGTGAAGCTGTTCGTAAGTCTACACGGGATCAGCCGACGGCGGTCGTCGGCTTCCGCGGCAGTTTCTGGAAGGCCTCGGGCCACGCCGCGGCCATGGAAACACTCAGCGATGTGCCGTTGTAATTCGCTTGGACTGCCTGCTTAAATGGAAGCGCCTGTTAATTGCGGCCGGTCTCCTAACATTTCCCAATGTTACACATTTACACTTTCTCGCGTATATATTTCTCGCGTACATAGATATATAAATATTATGCATATATATATATATATATATATATATATATATATATATATATATATATATGCCGGAGCCGTTCGATTGCATCGTTGACATGAGACTCGTTGAAACTGGTGGGTTGTTCTAATGATCAGCGCCGTCACGCCGGTGTACACGCGCTTTCCGCGCGCTCGCATAACGGGCGCGTTTCCCAGCTCACGCTGACGGGCTGGTTTTTTCAATTGGCACTAGGTTGACGACCCGGCGCTCACGCGGCGTGCTGGTACAGTCGCCCAGCGTCCACGTGTAGCCGCGCCGCGCCTCCGTCGTGCGCTGGTTCAGTCGTCCAGGGTTCACGTGAAGCCGCGTCCCAACTCCGTCGCGCGCTGGTTCAGTCGCCCAGCGTCTATGTGAAGCAGGCGTCGCGCCTCCGTCGCGCCGTCCTTATTGTTTGACGTCACTTACTCATCGTCGCCACTACGGCTCATCACCGCCGCTGCAGTTATCTAATTAGGCCGTGTGTTGTGAGACAGTGACCCCTCAGCGGGTCGCTGCAGTCGGCGACACCGCGGCCCCGCCCCCAGAGGCCCCGATTGCGGGCGGCGGGGTGGTGTGACGGCGGGCTGGCGACTCCATGGCGTACATGCCTCGCGCGAGGCCCGGGGCGGAGCTTCGCCGCATTGTTCGCTGTGTCGGCAACGGCTGCACGGCTGCAGGCCGCCTGCACACGCCGGTATTGAAATGTCAGTGGGTGATATTGGGCTGTCAGGTCAGCCGCCTCCGGACTGTGTCCGCGCCCTCACCCCTCCCTCCCTTCCTCCCCCGGCGATACACCCAAGGCCATCTGGCCGGGAGCGCGCGAGCTCGGGGCTCCGGTGTATAGAGCTCACTGCCCGGAGCTGTGTAAACATTCCACCCCGTGATCTGTGAGGTGGATGATGCCATGACTCACGGGTGGCGTGAATCATGACGCGAGGGAAGTGGCCACACTCTCGCTGCGTGCATGCGAACTTCCATGGTCGTCGCTTAAGCCCCTGAAATTGCTTTGTTCACTCTCGGCTAATCTGTCTGAGGGCCCACCGTTCTGAGATCCCTTGTTACCAGGATGGCTCACAAAGGCGATTCGTGTAAGCACCTTCCAGCCATAATCCGCTCCTGCTCACCTGCCGAGTTTGGTCAGTGGCACCTTTGTCTAGGGAACAACCTCATCGCGGCCAGCGCATCGTCCGCGACCTGACCTAGTCAGTCAGGTGGTGAACTGTCGCATTAAGCTCACCTCGCTGACCCGTTTGTCCGGCGACCCGCTCGATGCGGTGTTCCCCCCCCCCCCCCTTCCCACCCAGACACGGTCAGTTGCCGCGCGCGGCTGCTACAAACAGCAGTCCCCTGGCCGCTGTCGTTATGAGGCGCACGCTGATCTGACGGGCACAAACTGCACCTGCCTGCCACTCACAGCGGTCCCGGGACGGCACACGGCGGCGGCGGGCTGTCCGTCGACAAGACGTCGACATCCGGTGAAAATTGGGGAAAGCAGCGCGAAAATCTGGTCTTCCCGCGACCCGAGCGCGGCGGCCGGGCAGCAGGGCATTCCCCGTCCTCCCGCCCGCAGGAGCTACATTGTCGAGGTCGCCGACTCGGCGTCTGTTGCTGCGCGATTTCTTCCCGCTCCCGCCCCCCGAATCCCGGCGTGTACCGCTCGTCCGTGCGCGTCCCCGTCCCGCCAGAACCCGGCTGACGTTCCCGGCGTGACGACCAGGAAGTTGGCGCGAAAACTGTGTCAAATAGCGCGCGCCGTGCCGGTCAGCTGGGCGGCGGAGCGGAAACGCGCGCGCGCAGAGCGCTCGTTGGTGCCACCTCCTGGACGCCGCTGGCGCACCAAGCTGGCAGGACGTGGAAGTTGGACGGCAAAGTGGACCCTAGTAGCGCTGCCAACGGCTGCCGAGTCTCGCCGGAAGTCCGGGGCCGGGATGCAAACGACGCCTCCGGGCAAGGCTGCGAACTTAGCCAGCTGCTGGAGTTGCCGCCTGAAAGCGGCGGACAGAGCGCTGCGAGCCAGACCAGCGACTTAAGTCGGAGCTGAAGTTTGCAGCCAGAGCCGGCCGCGTGCCTAGTCCCGAGACAGCTGGAGGCCGCGGCGTGGGCCGCGTGACGCCGTTACACGGCATGACGGCGTCACGCGGCGGCCGGTGACGGCGCCGACGGCACGGCGCCGGCGGCGGCGGCCGCGTCGGGTGGCGTTGAACCCGCCGCGGCGCGGGTCAGCCGGCCAGCCTGGTGTACAGTTAGCCAGCGAACGCACCGCGCCGCCGCCGCCGCCGCCCGGTCGGCCGACCGGCCGGGCGGCGAACCCGACAGGCGGGCGGGCGTTGAAGCCAACGCACCGATGGTGGATCCGTCACACAGCCGTTGGACCTCACGTACGGATGGCGGATCCTTCGCACGGACGGCGAACCCGACAATGCACGAAAACCAATCAAACGGACAACGGACCCAAAATTGGACGCCGCACGGGCGACACGCTGGGATAGGGCGCACCGCCGGTGTCGACACGGAGGAGACCACTGGGGCGGCGCCTACCCCTTTCCTGAAGCACGTCAAGCGCACCTGCAGTAGCCGCCGTGCGATCGCGGCGCCGCCGTGCAGGGTCGCGTGCGCGAGGTCGGCCGGCCTCGCGTGGCGCCGCCGCGTGCGCACGGCCGAGTCAACGCCCGGCGCCGCGATGCGCTCTGGGGCGACGAGGAAATGTGGCAAATCTCACCCGGAGTCGATGAACCGGGCGGCTCGCACCGGCGGGCTCTGCTGCCCGATGGCGGGCGGCGCCGGGCCGCCACGGTCAGCGTGCTGGACGTGCGCGGGTGCTGGCGCGGTCGGAGCCGGGGCTGCGCCTCTGAGCGCGGCGGGCTGCACGCTGGCGCAGCCAGCCGGCACCTACGCGGTCTGTAGCGAGCCAGCGCCCGCTGCAGCGCCGCTTCCGAGGCCGAACGTGGCAGCGGCAGCTTCCGGTGGCTCGCTCCGCGCGGACCGACACAGGCGAGGAAACATCTGCAGTCGTGCCAGCTGGAGCTGATGCGACAGCGATGCTGCGGAAGTCGAAATCGTTGGGCTCTTGTTTGAGCCCTTCCTTGCATGACTGCGACATCGTGCAGCGGCTCTCGAACTGCTGCGGGACCCGGAAGGTATTATGCGGTAAAAACGGCCTTTCCGGCTTTTTACGTTTGCGTTGTGTCATTGGTCGCATAAGCCGAACGCCCTCCTCGCGTGCGTCGCAGCCGTATTAGCGTGAGGAACTTCGTTGGCACCTGAGCGCAGACTAAATCCTCTCATTCTTCCAAGCTCGGTCCACGGCCATACCGACTAGGAAGCACTGACTGACGCCCGACCGTGATGGTGGCACACTGCAGCAGAGCCGGCCAGGTGCTGAGTCCGTGCACAGCCACGGCAGGCTCTCATACGCCAGGACGTTAAGCAGGCCGTGTTACATGGACTACGTGCCTAATATCCCTGCCGGCGACCAAATTCTGGCGCGCCTATGCCATACAAACAGCATCAATGCCGCAGTCGATACAGCGCGGCCTGGTCACGATCAGTGAACGCTGGCGGTGCGACTCGGACCGCGTTGGAGCAGCGTTGACCGGAGCGGACTGGCGACCGAACTCTGCCCGCTGAGAACGTCGCGCGCTGAGAACATCGGTTGGCACGGCGAGCAGCCTCCTGAGATCCCTCGGCGGCCTCCTGAGATCCTTGACGGCCTCCTGAGATCCCTCGGCGGCATCCTGAGACTCCACAGCGGCCCCCTGAGATCCCTCGGACCGTGTCCGGGAGCGAGCGTGGCGTGCGAGGTCAGCGCGCGGTCTGGGGCCTCGGCTCACCGG